TTTTTGAAAGACAGGTTTGTTCAACATTTCCTTACAAGTGCATCCAAACCTTCTTTTCAATATTTCTGTTTCCTATGTTTATTTTCCGCAAATGAGTTTGGTAAAACTTTAATTGGGGTGGAAAGAACAAAGAGGAAAGTTGTAGGAAGATGGAGCGGAATGCACGGTTGAAGTTGTGAGAGGATAGGGATGGCAAATGGCGCCGTTAAGGCTAGCGGCCTTCCTTGCTTGATGTTTGCCGGCTTTCGTTGCTTACCATTAGTTCACAGGCCTTTCAACTATAGGCGGTTAGCATATTGAATCACATCGCGAGATAAACAGCATTTTCACTTATCACTAAATGGTTACGGTGAAATTTATGTAAGTGGTGCTGCGCTTACTATACTGTCACGAGAATCGGGGAATTCGTGAGCCAGGGGGAGTGTAGCCAATCTAGGGGGGGGGGGTGAGGGCAGTCACTTGACATGCGTGAAAAGCTGGGCGTGCCCACCCCACTTGTATAGCACCCAGTTGTATTCTATCAGTTGTCACTTATTACAATTATCATTTACCGAAAATCAGCTATCACTACAAACTTTACTGGGAGGCCGTCGTCAGTTCGGATGTGTGATGTGCACCCGACGCTGTTTTAGTTTTTTGGAAAGAAGGGCACACATATTTCACGGTACCGTGTCGAAAAAATTGGAGTGCTCGTCCCATTTGTATTAAACCTGAGTTTCTACTCATTTTACTACTGTGAATCAAAGACCTACATACCGCTGACGCATCTGCCAAATACGCATGGAATGTGGAACTCCCATGTAATGGACTTGAACACGATTGATCAACGCTGCCGCTTCCCCGCCCCAAACAAACTGAATCGTACAAACGCCAACATCTAGTGTTACTAATATCTCGTTAAAATGAAGGGACGGGGGGGGGGGCAAGCCCATTGAGGATGTTCCTAGAAAGCAAATGCCGTATCTAAGTTTGAGAAAACGATAAAGTAGACGAAGCGCGACATTTGAGATATATGATGGTCTCACTGGAAGCTCTGAGAACAAAACAGGTGCTATACAAGTAGGGTGGGCACGCCGCATTTTTTGAACAGAAATGTATGTAAGTGGGACTGCTGCCCGCTACTATACTGTCACGAATCGGGGAATTCGTGAGCCAGGGGGAGTGTAGCCAATCTAGGGGGTGGGGGTGAGGGCAGTCACTTGACATGCGTGAAAAGCTGGGCGTGCCCACCCACTTGTATAGAGCCCAAGAACATAATTATGAACATGATGTAATGACATCTTACTAACTAAACATCCAATATTTGAATAGAAAACATGCTCGTTTATGAACAACCAAGGCAGTAAATCACTATTCAACAATGGTAAGCTCAAATGGACGAAGAAAGAACGAAGACCAAGGAATGAGCTGGAACTTGACAACTCGACGCTGTGTACAACGAATGCCATGGCGATTGCGAAATATCGCGCAACGATGACTCAGCGCCCCAGACGGACCACCCACCGGAGGGCGTGACCAATAGCGTGAGCGCCGATGACGTCGTCGAAGCATCGCGAACACACGTTTGATGACAATTCGACGGCACACGTGTTTTGTGTGTAGCTGCACAACAACAATACCACCTGACGGACAGAAAGAATAATGGTGATGCGCAAGATATTTCAAATTGCACTTCTCCATTAGGCTTAGCATCCTACTGAGAAACTCTTCTAGTGAAAAGGGATCGAATCTTTAGTCATACATGTAAACCTTTTTTTCCCCAGTCCCTCTGATCTCTGTTCAGAGTTTTGGAATACGCAGTATACCAGTCGGAACCAACAGTTTCTCATCTTTCAAGAACCTAGCCCAGCGAGGGGAAGGGAAATAGGGGGAAATAAATAACCGGTGTTTCTAGTGCAAGAAATTGATAAAATAAAAAAATGAGTTCAAGAAAAATAAGAAGGAAGATGATTAGAAAATAAAAACTTGGGAATCACTCGCGTACTCATCCTCCTGTCCTCCTCTCCCGCTAAGGGTTCACTTCTGAAAATGAGCGTTAAAGAAAGAAAGCGGTTGTCGTTGTTCCAGATGTGTTGGGCGCTCCTCCTCTCGACACCCCCCTTCCCCCTCCTCTTGGGCGGTATTGCATCCTTCCCCCAGGGGAGTATAGTCCCTAGCGAAGATTGAATTGGATGAATCCCCAGCGCGACCCCTCAGGGGAAAGAGTGCTTCATCAGTGGAGGGTAGTAGCGCTGCTCTAACTGTCTGGCAGGTAGAAACACAGAGGTATGCGAGGTCCTATGACGCAACCCTTTTTGTCCCCCCAGAGGATTGAATCAGAGAGGGGGATATATCCCTTGGGAAGGATGTATACCGCTCTGGTCAGCATGATGCAATTTCGCAAAGGGAACAGGATCGCATTTGGTTTTTTGTGTTTTGTAGGGGCAGTATTATTATTTCTGTATTAGATGATGACAATGAAGTCGTATTCGAGACTTTCACAGTGGTGGGAAGGTGGAAATTGGGGCGTTGTGCTGCAGTTAGGATGAGAGCTTTTGACGTTTTTTTTGGCGATTTAGGCGAAAACTTCAAAAAAGGAACGAGAAATAGGTGAAGAAATTATCACTCCTTCGTTTCCTTTACCACTCTCTGCCCCCACTTCTCCCACCCTTTATCGATATGTCATTTTAGAGAGAAATGGGGCAGCGAGGTGGAGAGTCGCCAGCTTAGTCTTGGGAATCAAGTACCAAAGAAACAGCCGTAGTCGGGGAAGGACGTGGGGAGAGGAGGAGTTTATAAGGTAGCCTCTACTCGAAGGTGAGGTGGTATGGGGAGTCGTACAAGAGCTCCTTAATTGAGTGACAATGGAATGAGCTTTTCGAAGTCGAAAGAAGCCACGTGTGTGTCCCTGTCCTCCCTCATTTTGATCTTTATAAGCAGTCTATCTCTTATGAATGGGGCATTATTTAGGACGCCTTGAAAAAAAGACTATTTGATTTGTTCTCATTTGAGCCGCTAGAACATTACGAAGCACTTCTTTCGAAGATATTGAGCCAGACAGACTGACGAATGCACACGTGTTTTTGTTAAATTTTGAACTTCCATCAAATAGAGCATCGATTACCTGTAAACCTTGGGTGTAACAGTCCTTTCAGTACCTGAGTGACGTGTCAAACAAATTGTAAACCTGGGTGCAATAGTGTTTTCAGTCTCTGAATGACGTGCCCACCTAACACCCTACCCATTTGTTTTGTTCTAAATTTGTCACTTCAGACGTAATTCAGAAGGTCAGACCACCGGAGTCCACAGTGAGGCATATACAAAACCCCGCTGAGCTCGGCTTGAGCTTCCTGGTTCATCTCTTTATCTAGCGGAATCAGAAGAGGAACTCAGAACGACTGGGTATACCCAAAAGCTTAACTGCCTTAGTAAAAAATAGGAATCTCATCCAGTAGGGGGAGGGTATGGGGGTTTGTGTAGCGAGGGTTGTTGCCGCCTATGAAAATCCAATTGTCGGGAAGGGGAATCCCAAATCTTGTTATCCATTCTACATCCATCTGGACTTCTTCCTCTACAACAAAATGGGAGTCGATCCATAACGGGGCGAGAGACTTGCGGTTTGAGCTCTGAACGTGTTCAAACCCACGGCCTAGAATTCTCCGAGTGTAAAAGGTCTAGGGTTTAGCTTTTAGAAGGAAGGGAGAACCTCCGGGGTCCATGAGCAATCTTCGTTTTCATGCTTCCCTTTCCTAGGCTTGGTCCCAGCTGCTCACTAGGTAAATATTACTTTTCATACACGTTTATGTCACAAAACAACGTCACTTCCTACCAGCATAGACCCAAAAAATTGAGTTACTTTAGATGACATGAACACTCGCACCAATTCCCCCCCCCCCCCCCCTTTCTGAATGAGGCCCAAAAATGGACCACAGAGCAACACAAATTCTTAGCATGATGCCAAAAATGCTGGATGCAGCACACGTCTTCTACTCGTAACTACTGCGCATTCCCCGATTCTCCAATGTAATAGCCTTTTGAGGGTCACGCTACAAAACCCACCGCGGAGCGGTAGGGTACCGCGACGTGATCTTTCGCGACGGTATATTGTCCCAATTACCCCATGCGCCTCTAACCTCTTAACAGTAAAAGAAGCGCCTCTTTGTTGGAGAACGGAATGCTCCTACAAGGGGTCGTACTCTGCAATCCCTGGCTGGGTAAGGTCCTTTTCTAGAGTGTGGAGCAAATTCCT